TTGTCAGCAAATGTAGACTGCATATACAAATATCTAAAAAATAAAAATTGTTTTAAACTTAACGAGATGAAATCCTAGCAGTTAGTGTTCTCCTTACTGTATCTTTAGACATCGTTAGATCTATATGCTCACAATAATTATTATACACTCTCATCATTCTATTAATTGGTCCATTTTTACCATAATTCGTTCTGTGAGGTGACAGTTGAAATACATTTCGAGTTCTTAACATGCGTGATGGTACGTAAAAATTTAATCTTGCTAATATTTTTTTCTGAATTTACGCGTTGTGAGATAATATCATTGACAAAGGATACCTGCAAAAAGTTGACCAATGATGGCCGCTGCTTTTCGGAAAATAATTGTTCCCAAGTTTTTTTTCAGCCACCAGTGAAAAAAATTAAACACTTTTGTTGAAAAATGGTTTTCTCTGAAAATGTCTAAATTCTATACACTTTTTTGCTATAAATTTCAACCACTCTATGACAGCTCGAACAAGCTCCCAAAAGTGGTAAAAAAAATAGTCATCAATGCATAAACTCGTTTTTCCGTGTTCGTTCGTTCGTTCGTTCGTTCGTTCGTTCGTTCGTTCGTTCGTTCGTTCGTTCGTTCGTTCGTTCGTTCGTTCGTTCGTTCGTTCGTTCGTTCGTTCGTTCGTTCGTTCGTTCGTTCGTTCGTTCGTTCGTTCGTTCGTTCGTTCGTTCGTTCGTTCGTTCGTTCGTTCGTTCGTTCGTTCGTTCGTTCGTTCGTTCGTTCGTTCGTTCGTTCGTTCGTTCGTTCGTTCGTTCGTTCGTTCGTTCGTTCGTTCGTTCGTTCGTTCGTTCGTTCGTTCGTTCGTTCGTTCGTTCGTTCGTTCGTTCGTTCGTTCGTTCGTTCGTTCGTTCGTTCGTTCGTTCGTTCGTTCGTTCGTTCGTTCGTTCGTTCGTTCGTTCGTTCGTTCGTTCGTTCGTTCGTTCGTTCGTTCGTTCCTGTAGAGGCGCGAGGCTGAAAATAACTACCAAGGAGGAATTCATGTCAGTTGGGAGCATGTCGGATGATATGAACGATGACTTCTTGGAGGGCGCACAGCAGTCAGAGGAGGACCCGCTGGAAGTTTGTCAGAATCCAGAACGGAGTCGTCGACAACCTACATGGATTAGATCCGGAGAGTACGATCTTTCTGCGAATATTGCGATGGCTCTTGAATGTTTCTTATCGAATGCTCCGGAATCGAGAGGATGAAGTTCAGTGGATACAAGCTGTGAAGTCCAAGATGGAAGCATTGGAGCTGAATGGAACGTGGACGGTAGTGAAGAATCCGGGAAATGTGAAGGTCATCAGCTCAAAGTGGGTTTTCATACGCAAGGATACAGATGATGGAAAGTCGAAACAGTTCAAAGCACGATTGGTTTTCTACAGAAACGTGGAGTAGATTTCGTGGAATCGTATGCACCAGTTGCTCGTCTTCCTACCATACGGTTTGTGCTGGCTCTTGGTGTATAGAACGGTTACCACTTCCGACATCTTGACGTTAAAACAGCTTTTTTTAATGGTGTACTCAAGGAAGAAGTGTTCATGCATCCACCGGAGGGGATAATGTTGAAGCCGGGATACATTTTGAAGTTACATCGCTCTTTGCATGGTTTGAAGCAGAGCCCAAAATGCTGGAACGATCGGCTTCATGACTTCATCACCAGCTTGGGCTTCCGACAGTTCGTGACAGTCTTGCAAGGGAGTTTCGAATGACGGACCTTGGAGAACCAAGAATCTTCATGGGACTTCGCATCCGTATGAATCTAGAGAAAAATGTTTTGCAGATTGACCAAGCAGCTTATACCGAACGTTTGATGGAAACATTTGGACTGACTGGATGTAATCCTGCTGTGACCCCAATGGAATAGAACCTGAAGCTGAAGCCTGGTGTGGAAGGAAATAAAGTCGAAGAGCCCTACCCTTGAACTCGTAGGCAGCGTACCCGATCGGATATATGTTTTGCGTTGACGCGTACCCGATCAGATGTATGTTTTGCGTCTAGCTAGTTTTTAGGAGAATCCAGCACAGGAGCATTGGCAGTGCTTAAAGCGAGTTTTGCGTTACCTGTGTGGTACAACAAACGTTGGACTTCTCTACAGTAAACATGACAATGATTCTGCGCTAAGTTGTTACGTTGACGCCGATTGGGCCAACGACCTAGTGGATCGGAAGTCAACCACTGGCTTCCTCATCAAGGTGTATGGGAACGTTGTGCAGTGGTGCAGCCGCAAACAGGCCATTATAACTCTCTCCAGCTGTGAAGCTGAATATGTAGCAGCTTGCGATGCCGCTAAGGAAGTGCTGTGGTTGGCGAGGGTCATGGATGATTTGAATCTTCAAGTGCAGTTTCTGGTTACGATTCTTGAAGACAATTCTGGTTGTATCAGCGTTTCGGAATACCCTGAGATACGTCGATCGAAACACTACGATGTTCGATACTATTTCCTATGACGGAAAGTCAAGGGGAAGATTCTAAAGCTAAAGCCAATTTTGTCGCAAAATCATGTAGCAGACACACTAACTAAAGCGTTAGGAAAGATTTTGTTCGTACGACATCGAGAAAGCTTAGGATTGGTGGAATTGAGAGGAGGTGTAGGGAAATCTATCTTTGAGACGAAGTAGTGAGTGCAAGCCACCATAGCTTTCACGTGAAAAATCCATGAACCCTCTACAGAAACTGCCTGTAATATATATGTATCTTGAATCTTGTATCAGTAAAAAAATTGTGAAATTTCTTATGAAAATACTGTTGAACAATATGTCAATCGGCTTCATCCCACCGATGATGAGAGCTTTCAATACAAATGTCAGTGAGGGGGACGGCTCTATCTGAGTAGATAGAAAGAAGATTGATGACGATTCTGAAGATTTTCCGAAGATTGATTCGCTAGTGTGAGACTTTTTGAGCATCTAGAGTTGAGATTTAGATGTGTCGCCCCCTCTAAAATCAGGTTGCTATGTATATTTGCTCTTGATCAACGCGAGTTACTCAGAGTTGCTCAGAGTTACTCAGAGCTACTCAAAATTAACTTTGGTTTTACTCGTGCTCAAAAGCTGTCTTGCCCCTTGCTCGGAACTGAGAGCCTTGTATGCTTATATAATTAAATGCATAGTAAGGAGAGAATAGAGAATAGTCTAAATTGATCAAATCTATGAGGAGTTGCGAACTTTTGTTCAGTTGAATAATTTAATGTTTGAAGCGATATTATTGGAATTGCCACAATTTTAAACTTAAATTCTTCAAGTTAGCATTATTCCTTTTATAAATATGACTGTATCATACGAAATCACGTTTTGAAGCAGCTGCTTTGTTAAAAAGTCAGTCATGCACAAGTCTGAAAAATTTGAAGCCTTAAATAGGCAGTACTTCTTATGTTTTATTATTCTACAGAAAATATTTGTTCATTTTAAATATTTTTATGCTTAAACTGTTCATTGTTAATCCTTCAGAAATCCAGAATATTATTAACGGTTGTTTACAAGGTCGCTCATACAACCCCGATAGGACGTTCATTTTACTCCAACGGTTTTATTTCGGTTACAAAATGAACTCTTTTTAATCTTCTTTCATAAGAAATCAAATATTTACGTTTAATATTCAATTTGTTTTGATGATGTAAATAGGGCTTGATTCGATCCATTTGTTAAAAATCATAGGAATTTTCCACTGAATATGGTATCATTGGTAATGATTTTCTTATAATTTGCAAACTGCCCCACTTTCCCCTATAAATTTTGGTGCGTAGCTTTCATATAAGGATAATAATAATCGGTTGTCGGAGGTGGTTACTCTTGGACACCATGACATGAATTTGTATATTGTGCGGCAAGCAGAATTGCAGGGAAGTCGAAAAATTCCAACCCTAAAAAGATTTCCTCGATCGGCGAGATTTCCGGAAATCGAACCTGCCACCTTCGGTTTGGTAATTCCATACCTTAATCGACTATGCGAGGCCCCCGTATTAAGATAAGGATATTTGATTCAATTAGTTTAACGCGCAAAATGTAGAACCTCTGTAGGAAAGTTTTCCATCCATCCTTCGCAGAATGGTAGAGGGGTGCAGCACGTAGGGAAAATATATGCGAAAATCACACCTGTTTCAATGTCGACAACAAGGTTGACGTGTTTTATTTTTTCTCATTTGAAGCATCACTCTGCGAAGCATTCGAGAAATCAATATTTCGAGGTCAGGTTCATGAAAGTGACGTAGCTTTCACACGGATTGTTTGCAGGGCAGTAAGGCAGAATGGGCTCGTAAGCCGTCCATGGGTCCTGAATTCTGAATTTTGAAAGTTGGACTGTCACACTAACATCGAAATCGTAACCTTTTGGAGTGAAAAGAACAAACATTCCAAAACAGCGTCCAGGATGGCTTAACAAGTTCCCGGGAAAGCTATTTGCTGAGATTCCCTTTGATGTTGAAACAAAATGCTTTGAAATGCATCAACTTGTGGCAAACTCTAACGTTCCATTTGATAATCCTCGAAGCTGCATCCAACGCTAACTAACTATAGAGAGGAATGTGCTCGGATTTTTTCATGCGAATTCGACCATCTGGCTGTCCTGCACAGCTGTGCACAGGACACACGTTCTGCATTACCGTTGGCTAGTGCAATCGTGTTCGCAGAAAAAAAGGATGATACACTGTCACGGTCATGGATCACACGCACGCTGATGATTGTTACAACATTGCGCCACCAACAGATTTTCTCCGAAGCGGTATTAACGTTCAAGTGATTACCATCCTTTCAATCAATGTTAACTTAATGTGTGAGAGTGTTAATGAAACGCGACAAGTGGTTTAACATAATTTCCTCAAATGGCTTGTATTTTCCGAAAAATTAAGAACGGTTTGGTTCACATTGTTTTCGAGCTATTTACACACACACTTTTAGCATACAGATTACTTAAATTAAAATGGATGGGTGGATGGTGGATGTTATGTCATAAGAGAGCACGGGGAACTTGAGGGTAAACAAGATCCTCCTTCACCTCATCGCTTGCTGTTTGCTGGTTGCTTAGCGACGGTGGTAGGCATGGTAGACCGGAGCATGGGCGACGTAGGCTGGGGCATGGTAGGCAGGTGCATGGTAGGCAGCGTAGGCCGGAGCGTGATAGGCGGCGTAAGCTGGAGCGTGGTGCACAACCGGGGCATGGGCGACGTAGGTCTTGTGATACACGGGGGCAGCAACCAGGGGGGCGGAGTGGGCGATCAGCGGGGCCGGAGCGACGTACGAGTGCGATACCACTGCTGGGGAATGGTAGGAGCCCAGGCTCAGATGCAGACCGCGCTTGGTCTTCATCGAATCGGAGGCCATCTCTTCGGCACAGACGGCGGCGACCACGGCGAGCAGGACAATCTGTCGAGGTGAGTGAAGGCATTTGGTAAGAAAATGGTTTTGTGATAAGCTGTTACATATTTTGAACAGTATTGATGTTGTGTTTGATCCTGTAGGTCATATGAATAAAAGAGTTTACTTCTTCTATTTAACGTCGGTCTCTGTTCTGCAAGCTCCGACGGACATCGATTGCCATCCATTGACGGCAATAGAATGGCCAGGAAGACAGATTCCACGCCTGAGTAGATATCGCACCCATCAAACCATGGGCCGGGACCAAAAATCCCAAAGACCTCGGCTGAGATTGAACCATAAGAAAAGTACGGGAAAGGAAAGTACATTAACTCTTTTGATTCATATGGCCTAATATCACGCGGGACATTGAGAGCGTATGGGAACAAAAAAATATGATTTTGCTAATGATTCTGATATACCTGCCGTGCTGTCATGGTAAGTTTTGGAGCTTGTTACTCACTAATTCATCATTTATGTACACATAATTTAGTTCCCTCTAATCAAATCTAGGATACAAATACTATTTTTGCCAAGATGTGTTCAACTCTGTACATCCCAACTTTATCTGTTCCGAAAGCTGGGTCAAGCGTTGTGCCGAACGTGCCGAAATGTGGCATTCAAGGTGTCAGTCTTAGTACCCCATGAGTTTGGCAACCCTGCAGTTACGACTTTTGTGAATGTTTATTTACATTTTTAAGTTCTCACAGATGGTTAATTGAAAAACTGAAAAAAGTGGTGAACATAAATTCCAAGATAAAATTCAATATTTAACGAGCTCGTTGCCGGTAAGTGGACACTCGAAGTTTAGCCCCTCTACTAGAAAAAGAAGGATGACTAATGGCAGAACCTGTCCATTAAGCAGAAGAAAGTTCTGCTCTGTGCATTATTTTGACAAACGTTTGCCGAAACCAAGTGCGCAACCAGTAAGTGGAAGATGCATCTTATCTGCATTATAATCATGCTACTATAGCAATGCAATGGCGATAATAGAAGTAGCGATTAACCAGCAGTAGCTTCCCAGTGTCAGCAGTTGTGGTTGGGTACTGAATTCATCTAATTAGCCTCACCGTTCTTGATTGGAGTCAAACTACATCGTCCATGGTTTAAATGTTTTGAACACTCTAATACATAAAAAGGAGACCCAGCAAATAACTAAGATTGGTCATTTACTTAAACAAATTAACTAGTGTTGGTCTTCTTCTTTCTCGTGACCCTCAACTTCTTACATGTGGGTCCAGGATATCGGTACTGGTTGTAGTCGTTTGATCACTAAATCCTCATTGTATCTAGTTGTTACTCCTTCATATTTTTTATCCTTGATTGGTCATTCCGGAATCGCATATTAATCTCATTGAAACTGCTGGCGCTTCCGGTTGCGTTCAATAATATCGTAATGGCTCCGTTACCTCCGGTGTGTTTACCTTCACAATTCTGTTAGCAGATCTTTCTTAATGTCGGTGAAATAAACACCCTCTAGCGAAAGACTGTAGAGAGACTGCGAATCGATAATACGAAATCGACTGACTCCACCAGCCTCCACAGTCAATCGAATCTCCGTGACCGTTCAGTCTATAAAGTGTCCCTGACAAAACCAAATCCCCATCCCCATTACATTGAAGTACACAAAGTAGTAAACCTTAGCTGGCAAAATGTCAACACAAAACAGTGATGCCGTTTTATATAATATGTTGTGTCATACTTGTCATCGTGTGCCATGATGTGCCGATCAGGGTGCCACGATGTGCTTCCGCAAAGTGTGCAGAGTTGATTACCCCTTGATTTTTGCGGGTATTGGCTTTTCAGTGAACGGTGGATTAAAACTCTACGATGTTTTATGTCCAACGTTTCAGTCTTTGGACATCCCGACCCCTGGATTCAAAAGTTTGTGATGCTGAAACTGTAATCAGCATTTTATCTTCAAACTTAAATCTCCCAATGAAAACTATTATTAGATTTTTAAGCTTTTCTGAGCTTTCTGCCCTAAAGATCGCTGAGCTTGAATAAAGTTCGCTAGACTTCCCTGAATTTCGTAGAACATTTCAAAAGATCCTACAATTTTCCTAAAGTAAATTGAACTTCCCTGAAGTTGTTTGATCCGTTCTGAAGTTCCTACAATTTTCCTGAAGTTTTCCAAACTTACCCTCGATATGGAACTTCCCTTAAAATCTCCATACTTTCCTGAATTTCTATGAACTTGCCTGAAGTCTTTGTTCCTTCATGATAAAGTTCTCTACATTTTCAAGAAGTTTTCGGAACTTTTCTAACGTTCGATTTTTTTTATGATATTCATGAAAGTTCCTGCACTTAATAGAACTGCACTGAAGTTGATCTGATCTTCCTTTAAGTACTTGGATCATCCCTGAAAATAATAAAACTACCCGAAAATTTCAAAACTTGCTTGATGTTCTTTTGGTTTCCATGAAGATCTCAGAACTGAAGAGACGAACCAGCCTAAAGCCGGAAGTCTCTCGAATAAAGATAATAATAATTTCTATGCTAAAGTTTTCTTGAATTCTTGGGAGTTTCCTTAAAGTAAATTGAACACCTTGAGGTCCTCTGATCTTCCCTGATGTTCTCGAAACTACCCTGAAGCTCTTGCAATTCTCCTGAAGTTCTTCGCACTGAAATAAAAGGGACAGTCCCAAAAATCTTTAAACTTCCATGAAGATCTCCTGGCTCCCCTGAAGTTCCTTGAACTTCGAAAACACTCCCAGATCTTCTTAAAGATTATCGAATGGTTTTTTTTTAAATTCATGGAGGAGTCTTGAATTTATTGAAAATAATTTTTACACATCTATCTATCTCCTTCTTCTTCTTCTTCTTCTTCTTCTTCTTCTTCTTCTTCTTCTTCGTTTTCTATGCCGAGGGAAGTCGAGAAATATTCCTACCCGAAAAGCTCCTAGACCGGACCGGGAGTCGTACCCAGCCACCTCCAACATGGTCTTGCTTTGTAGCTGCGCCTTTACCGACAGAGCTAAAGGAGGCACCTTACACATCTATAAACTTCCCCAAAAGTCTGGACTTTCCTGAAGCTACTGCGACTGCCCTTGAGATCTCAGAGCTTTTCTGGTGATCTCTAGACGAAGCTTCTCTGCGGTTCTTGGAAATCTATAAAATATCCACACTTTTCCTGAAGTTTTCTAGACTTTTCTGAAGTTTTTTTTAGTTCTCTGGACATCCCTGAAGTTCTTAGAACCTTTAAAAGCTGATACAGTTTACTTAAAACTCATTGAACCGCCTTGAGTTTCTGGAAACTTCTCAAAGGTGCCCGAATTTTTAAAGAAGTTATCAGAACTTCTCTAACAATCCCGCAGTCTGCCGCAAACTTCCCCGAAATGCTCGGTATTTTCTTTCATTCTTCGGAACATCTATAAAGTACTTTAAACATTTCATATTCTGCACTTTCCTGATTTCTCGGTGCTTCTGTTACATTTCCTATTTTGTTTATTAAGTTCTCTTAGCTTCCCTCATGCTCTCTGGGCTATCGTTAATATTTAAAGCTTCTAGAAGGTCCTCGCTATTTTCCTGAACTTAATGGAACTGCCTTTAAACTCTCAAAATTTTCCTGAACCACCGCTGTTTTCCCGATTTTCCTAGGACTGCTCCGAATTTCTCAGAACTGCACCGATGATCACGTAATTTCCATTAAGATCTATAACATATTACTATAGGGTGTCCCAGAAAGTATAAGCACACTTTCAACTCGCCACCATTTCTACCCTGGTGAAGTTTGTCAGCTATTGATGTGAGTTGTTGTTTACTTATTGCAAGTTTTTGGGCAGTGACTTTTTTTTTTCACAAAATCGTCAAAATGCGAGGTATTTCCACAGAGAAGCGCAAACAGATCCTGCACAAATGGTGCATTATTCCCGACATATCAGTAAAGAAGTTGGCGAAAATGGAGGAAGTAAGTATTGGAGCAGTCCGAACCGCCATAGGTTCGGTTAAGAAGTTACCTTCCAGGACACACCGAAATCTGGCCGTAAACCGGGACCGGTGGACCGAAAACTGGACCGGAATATCACCCAAGTCAATAAGAAAAGTGCCTCTGTTCGAGATTTGGCCAAAAATCTGATAATATCGAAGAGTAATGTTCAATGTGCCAAGGCAATAAACGGGCTGAAAAAGTTCAACAAGCAGAAAAAGCCAAAACGGAGTGAGAAACAAACCGCATCCGTCAAACCGAGGGCTCGGAAGCTATATGATAGCCTGCTGTGTGGAAAATTGGCGTGTGTTATCATGGACGATGAAACATGCGTCAAATTTGACTACACAAGACGCTTCCAGGAGACCAATACTACGCTGTCCGTGATGGTCAGGAAGTTAACGATGCCGATCAGTCAAAATGCCATGGTTTGGCAAGCGATATGTAAGTGTGGCAAGTTGTTTAACCCATTTGTGATGAAGGATAAGAGGAACACTGAAATTTACGTTCGGGAGTGTTTGAATCGGTATATGCGGCCCACGATCCGTCAAAATGATGACCCAGTACTATACTGGCTCAATTTGGCGTCAAGTGTACTCGAAAGACATGGTAGCTTTGTACAAAGTAAACAATGTGCAATACGTGCCAAAAGAGATGAATCTCCGAATTGTCTGAATCGAAACTTTCTGGGCCCCCAAGGGATACGAAAATACTTTAAGGTAGCTAATTAATTCGAAGAATTGAAAAAAAGACTGGACAAAATTGGCCAACATTTTCACTAAGGAATCTGTGCTGAAGCTCATGGACAGCGTCAGATCAAAAGTTCGTTGCTTGGCATACGATTAAAGGAACTGCGGATTATTTTCACCCAATTGAAAGAAAATGCTATAGAGAACATATATATGTAACAAAAATTTGAGTTCATTAACATAATGTTGTGCTATTCCAATAATCTACTGTGTTTATACTTTCTGGGACACCCTATATTAGGAATTCTTAGTCTGAAACTTCAAAAGCACAATGAGTAGTAATGTCATGCTGTGGTTGCTGACATTTGTGCTCTTGAAGTTTCATGCAAAGG